CTATCGCTCGTTCGTACTCCAGAATGGCACATTATACCGGCATAACTTCCATCCAGACGGCCCATCTCTGCTGCTTGCCATACCCAAACACCTCCGCTTGGCTGTACTCCACGAACTTCATGACGTTCCTACTGCCGGTCACCTGGGTGTGTCCCGCACATACGACCGGATTCGCCGTCGCTTCTATTGGCCAGGTCTGGCACGGTCCGTCAGAAGATACGTCGCGGCGTGTGAGGAATGTCAGCGCCGCAAAACACCATCGACGCTTCCGGCTGGGCGCCTTCAACCACTCGATATTTCTACTGAACCTTTCTTTCGCGTCGGCTTGGACTTACTCGGCCCTTTTCCTCTGTCTTCTGCTGGCAACAGGTGGATAGCTGTGGCCACAGACTACGCCACACGCTACGCAATCACACGCGCCCTTCCAACAAGTTGCGCCACTGACGTCGCCGATTTTCTTCTACACGACGTGATCTTGCAACATGGTGCTCCACGCCAGCTGCTCACGGACCGAGGCCGCACATTTCTATCGAAAGTCATAGCGGACATTCTACGCTCTTGTGCAACACGCCACAAGCTCACTACGTCGTACCATCCGCAAACAAATGGCCTCACAGAACGCCTGAACCGAACCCTAACTGACATGCTTGCAAAGTACGTTTCCTCAGATCACTCTGACTGGGACATCGCTTTACCATACGTGACATTTGCCTACAATTCTTCGCGCCACGACACGGCTGGTTACTCCCCTTTTTTCTTGCTGTTCGGCCGCGAACCCACATTACCCCTCGATACGACGATTCCGTTACCAGCAGCTCCAACTTCACAATATGCTCTGGACGCCATCAGCCGGGCCGCCCACGCACGCGAAACCGCTCGTGCTCGCCTTCTGACCTCCCAAGCAAACCAACGGCGTCGGTACGACCAACGACACCGCGATGTGCACTTTTCGCCCGGTTCGTTGGTTCTGCTGTGGTCTCCGACCAGGCACGTTGGCCTGTCTGACAAGCTGCTCTCTCGGTACACAGGGCCATACAGAGTGCTTCGTGAGGTGACTCCCGTCACTTATGAAATCACTCCTGCTGCCTCGCCGTCTTCATCCACCCCTAGGGCCAGCGACATCGTACACGTCGCACGCCTGAAGCAGTACCACTCGCCCAATGATCTTGACATCTAGATGCGCCGAGACGGCGCCTTTGCCGACGGGGGTTATATGCTACCTGTAGGCTGCCACAAACCATAGTGCGAATGCGCGTGTGCGCCCGACGAAGAAGAGGAGGCTCGCTGGCTGCTCGAGCTCGGAGCCAGACTGGCCAGTGCTGCAACCGCTCTTGCAAATATATTTTTCGAATATATTCGCAATACTTTGTCTCGTTACTCACGTAACAATATCATGAGTTTCATATGCGAAGCTCATGGCGCGCTTGTGGCAGTTTTGCTAGCTCAGTAAATGCAAAAGTGGTATTGTGTAAGTTGACTGTGTCTTGAACATTACTGGCAGATGCTAACATGAAAATAATCACATGGTTGTCATGTACAACGTAATCTGATAGGCAACGCCAATGACTGGCTCGTGGATGTTTTGCTCGTTTCAAATGCACAAAAATTAGTACCGTGTGACGCGACGGTTTGACTAACATAAATGGCAGGCCGTAAAATGGAAATGATGGTATGCATGTTATGTACAATATGGCTTGCTTCTTGCTGGCTGGTTCTCGTTCTGTCGATTATTCAATGCGTGAGATCTGCCGGCGTTTCTTTTTTTTTATGTTGTCTCTCTCTCTATTGCATCACAGTTAATGGCGGCATCCTTACACTTCACTAATATAAGCAACAGAATTCAAACACGAAGTAGAGTAGCTGATTCGCCATTCACTATTTTGTTACGCATTCAAAATGTTTTGTCGGCAATAAGCGGAAACAATATTTTCTTCGTTTCCGCTCTTAAATTTTCGGACATAAACCGTTTTTGCTTTTAAGCAACGCACTTCTCACATGATGACGAAAGAAGTGTGATAGGCAAAAGAATGATTGAATGGAATTTATAACTTGTATGGTTGTTCAGACTAATAGTTATCGAGTATGTTAATGCTGCTTTTTCTGCCGCATCGAATCTTACTAATGGCCTCGGCTGGTTATTGAAGTAAAATATTGAAAATGACATCGGTGTTGCACAGTTTGTAAGTACAATATTGCACGTGAACGGCCCAGAAACTGTGACCACCTTTTATAACTGCCTACTCTTACAAGCCAAAACGCAATTTCATCCACATGAACGCAACGGTGAACACTCCTAATTAAAAGCCTGCCATTGTTAAACTAGCTTATAATGAAGTCGGCCCACTTGGCTGGGATTCTGAACTTTAGTCCTAAAGGTTGCAGCGCAAGACCTTTACTGTGAAGCTGCCACAACCATCTCTTAACTAAAACGAGAAGGTGCTAAAATTATCCATTTTTGTTATCTTAGGTGGCGATACTGGCGTTGCAGTCATCGCTGACATTCAGCTGCCCCTACACCTTACGATACAAATGCATATCAATATTCTTGTCTGTTTTAATACCGTTATCACCTGCATGAGCATTACGTCGTCGTTGTTGCCAGATTCGGCTTCGCTACACCAATTTGCCCACTTTCTGATTGATTGATTGATTGAGTGAGTGAGTGATTGATTGATATGTGGGGTTCAACGTCCCAAAACCACCATATGATTATGAGAGACGCCGTAGTGGAGGGCTTCGGAATTTCGACCACCTAGGGTTCTTCACCGTGCACCCGAATTTCGCACACAGGCCTACAACATTTCCGCCTATCGTAAATGCAGCCGGCGCAACATTAGATCACGTGGCCTGCGGGTCAGCAGCCGTGTACCTTAGCCACTAGACCTCCGCAGTGGGGCTTGCCCACTTTCTACGCCTGTGGTGGCAGAGAATAACTCGAGCAAATGCGTGATCGAGGTATCGAATGAATGTTGCGTAGCTTGGTACGTTTTGGGAATGCTTTATTGTTATTTTGTGCTTATCATTCTTATTTATTGAATGAAGGAAAATCAAACACAAGTTGTGTCACGTTAAAGTGTGTCTTTATTGCTTTGTGCAGTCGTTTTAAGGAACGGAGAGGAGTCGCCCTTGACTGAATTCTGGATGTGCACTTTGCCGCTTATATACACACCACCCGCGTAGAACTGGCAGACGAGACGAGGTACGAGCCGAGCCGAGCACGCGCATGAGAGGTGTGGCCGGCACCAACGCCCAGGCGTGAGAACGTGACTAAATAATTCTCCACATTTAAAAATGTCTTGGCTGCTTGCCTACTTCATCGCTACTTTCTAGATTTCTTGATTTAAACCAAGATAAAACTATCAGGTAATGTCACCACCACAGCTGTTAGTTTATGGGGTGCCAAAACAAGGCAACTAAGTTTCTTTACTATTCCTCAAGTTAGATTTTTTCTTGGATTTCTCGGTAGAAAAAACTTTCATAATGATATTGAGCCTCAGGGAAAACTGTAGCATGGAGCGTGAAGTCGCATATCGCGTACGTTGATGAAGGCGATAGTGAGTTATGATTGCATGATAAGTCATATTCCTGGATTCAAAAAGCACTCTCTGTCTTGGGTGCTGCACAATAATTAATATTTTTCGAACATCAGGCCAACTAGCTGCTTTTATCATTTATTACCAGCCGGAAATTATTGGGCCTCAAAAATGTAAGCTACTTGCACTGCGGCATCATTCAGGGAAATGAGTTCGAAAGTGACTACAATCCTCGCTCCGAAACCCACACGTGTGATCTTGAGTGCACTTACAACTTATTGAATTCGATTTTCGCCAATTCGCTGTTACTTCTACTATCTGCGAGAAAGGTTGCGCAGAACGCTCTGAAGGGCTCAGTTTATTTAACAACGCGAGTAAAGTCGTAATTCTGCACAAAATGTTTGCTAAAGTCTGCACTGTGTTCTGGAATCTCAATAATTTTGACAGTGAAAGGTTCCCACTGTACCAATTTATATATCACCGTAAGGTTTTTCTGTCGGTGTGTGTGTGTGTGTGTGTGTGTGTGTGTGTGTGTGTGTGTGTGTGTGTGTGTGTGCATGCGTGCGCGCACATAAAGCCTTTGCGTTACAAAACACATGTCGGCACTTCTGGCTACCCTAGCTGCCGCTTTCTAAAGTTAACTATTTATCGCTAGTTTTTTTGCCTATTTTTGTCTTTTGTCTACTTGGAAACCCTGATTACGGCGTATGTTAGGGTGTAGACTGATCAACCATAAAAGAATTTTAACAGCAGAACAAATTAAAAACCACGGCTTAATGCCTAATTCCTCAATGCCACAATGCACCTATTTGTGGGCCTTGGCTAAGACGCCTCGGAAGATTTCAAAACAGCTGGTCACATGCAGGGACGTCAGCATACTCCGAGTATATATATTTGCCCCGCCGCGGTGGCTTAGAGGCTAAGGTACTCGGCTACTGACCCGCAGGTCAAGGGATCAAATCCCGGCTGCGGTGGCTGCATTTCCGGTGGAGGCGGAAATGTTGTAGGTTCGTGTGCTCAGATTTGGGTGCACGTAAAAGAACTCCAGGTGGTTGAAATTTCCGGAGCCCTCGTCAACGGCCTCTCTCATCATCATATGGTGGGTTTGGGACGTTAAACCCCACATATCATTCAAAACGATATATATTTCACTTAAGCACATTTCTGCTTTTTTTTGGTATGTTCACTGTCACGAGAGCAACCGATTACGGCCCGAAATAAAGGCCCCACGAATGGCGCACGATAAAATTATTTCCATGCAGCTGGCGCACCTTTCGAAGACGCAGTCGTTCTGTCTGTCGCCGAGGCGAAGAAAAGAAACCGGTTCTTTTGTAAGCGCTCATTACGCAACAACCCAAATGAACTGAGGGGTAGCGAACGCAAAAACGAGGCGTCCCGACACGAGCAAGAAAAGGAAATACTGCTACACGACGGCATTTAGCCGTGAACGTAGACTAGGTTAAACCGCCGACGAGGGGAGCGTGTTATCGCAGCGATAGCAGCGGTGCGCTTCCAGACGACAGGCAAGTCTGCCTGACGGAGGCCGTCGCCCAGCGCTCGCCGTTTTCGAAGTTGACGCTTTCTCGAGGCACGCACGTTGACATGTCGTCGGACAGGGAGTTTGCCGGGCGCATTGCTGTGGTCACCGGGGGAGGCAGCGGCATCGGCGAAGCCATCTGTCATGTGCTGGCTGAGAAAGGCGCCCGCGTCGTGGTAGCGGACATCAATGTGGAAGCCGCGGAAAGAGTCTCAAAGTCACTACCCGGTTTGTACCACCATGCCATGCATATCACTTTCTTTTTATAATCTCTTGCAAGAATTTTTTTTCTCTGCTTTCCTATGAATATCACTCCCACTAAAGAAAAATAAACCTATAGCTTATCATCGCACTGTTATCGGGAGACGTAGAAGAGGTGTGGGTGCTGTTCAGGGGCCTCTCGTATTTTTTTTCTGTACGCTTTTGGTAGTAGCTGTGTATAAAGTCAAGGAATAATTTGTAACGGGCAATATCAACCAGTACTACATTGCGTGTTCCCGCCATCAGAACTTGTATTTCGCGCATTTCTTGCTAGGAATTTTTGGACCGTCTAGAAAAAAACAAGGACACAGTAAGGCACGCAGAAAGCCTCAAATGTTCACTCCAGAAACTGCGCTTTCCGCAAGAGTATCCTTCACTATTTGGTTGTTTCACAAGCCCGCCTAGAATTAGAATTATATGTATCAGCTTCAGCCCAGAAGATGTTCGATCTAACGCATTTCGTAACTGACGCTCCAGAAAGTTTTTCTGAGGTACATCACGTAACCACCGACATTAAATCAGCTGGCACTAAGACACAATGAGTTTTAAACAAAAGCGAATTTTTGATGTGAGGAAACTCATCAACAGTCGTTTTTATGCGAGTATTTCTCGCATAACTGATGGTTGAAGTAAACAATGCTGACAAAGATGACGCTTCAGTTTACTTGTGATGTCTCTGAAACTTTTTTACTAATTCTCAGCTTTGCCTTTTCTAAGTCATTTAAAGGCCAGATTTATTATAGTAAATGTGACAAAAAAACTAGCACTACGAAGGATCTAGTTCGATAGCACTTATCGGGGCTTGCAAAATGATACCGCTAATTGAAACACACGCCAATTACGCTTATTCAATTATGAGGAAGGCTCTAGGCGGGTTCTAGCGATGCGTTTTAGAGTTAGAGGTGCAATATAGCGACCATAATAAGCGTCACTCCAACTTTCCATGATTTTGTAAAGTGTTTTTTTCTTCAGAAACGAAGCATCCGTATTATGCATGGATAAATACAATTTTATTTCAGTAATATAAACTTCCTCTTGGCATAGAAAGCACGTATTTCTATCCTCTCAACTGCATGTGTTATAAAATGCTGAAGCGCGTATATTTGGCACATCAATTTACCACTGGCGTGGAAGGGCTACATGGTCACACTGTTTTTGAAAGTTAGCAGTCACCAGAACCAGGACCGTTGTATCTGACTGTTGTATAACACCTCCTATTTGTACGTTTTGAAAACTCATTAGCATGCATAATTGAGAGAGAGAGAGGGGCAACTTTATTTATCCCATCATCTTAAGGAAAAGGGACTGAGAGAAGTTGGGAGATCCTACTCATCGTAGGCCTCTACTGCCACATCAGCCCACCTCAGGATAGCTTAGTGAGGTTGCGGGTAGTATAGCTGCGCATGACAGCTTCCCACACATCCTGACTATCCAGTTGCTTACGAAGGCTCGGTGGGAAAAGTGATGTGAACACTGCCACACATTATGCTTAAAGTCCGCTTTGTTCACAGTATGGAACTAGCCGTCTGAATTTGGCAAGTTCCAAGGTAAATGTTGTGGCCTAAGGCAAAGGAGATAAATGTTTGGGTTTGTAGTTTACGCCATAGGAGTACATGCCTGCGGAAAGAGTGACTCAATAAAGGTAGGTTTTATCACTGACGTGATAGTGCCCGGAAATGTCGTTGTATGTGAGTAATCTTTCTTTAGATGTACATACAGTAGGAAAATGATTGGTTCCTGAAGCATCCCCTAGGCCATCTTGCCTTCGGATTTGCGAAAGCTCGAGCGCTTGCGTGGGCTGCTTCATTACCAATCAGGACACGTTCTCACTTATGCCTGATTGATAATGCATAATTGAGGGAACGAAAATCCAAAAGATGTGCGGTCTCTTACTGCGCAGTCATCGAGTGGCGAACTTGAATGTGTTTGCTTTTACAGCAAAATCTCTTATGAGATAGCAAGTGTCGCGTGCACCATAGTTGCCAAACGCTGCCACCAGTTTCTATCACCACTATTGACCAAAGTTAGAAAAAAGAGGTTAACAAAAACACTCAAGACCCAATAGGATTGGATCCCTGGTATTCTGCGAAAATCACAGCATATCCATGGAGTGAATGATGATGAGTGAGGCGGGTCAGCCAGCCCATTCGTGCTTCCGTACGTCCGTTCGGACTTGCTTCCGTTCATCCGTGCGACCATCCGTGTGTCCATCCATGCGTCTATCCGTCTGTCCATCCATTCATGCATCCATCCGTCTATACGTCCACGCGTCTATCCATCCATCTGTCCGTCTGCCAGTCTGTCTGTTCCTCCATCCATGCGTCCGTTCGTGCGTTCATCTAGTGAACACTCCAAGTACCATCATCTCCCATGTCGCAGCCCCTGTGGCATATACCCGCTCTAGAGCGGGTATGTGCCACCGGTGGCTACTTACTACTGCTACATACATTGAAAGATGTACAAACCCAAGCGTTAAAGCGCTTCGGCCCTAAAAATCTCAGTATTCTACAACAAATCCAGGCCAGTGCTTGCAAATTTGTCGTAAACACATCTTACGCAGGCTTATTGTCGGGAATAGAATGACGTATCACCAGTAACAAGGGATAGTAAAAAATAGGTGTCACATAATGTGAATTGCGTAACAAGTGAGCCGTCGAATGATACAACCCATTACAATAGCTTCAGGCATAAATCTTCATTGTGGCCCGCCAAAGCATAAAAAATGCACAAGATTCCTTGAAAGTGTGTAGCGGTACTGCGCTTCTCCAAAGAATGATGAAAGGATGGCATTGTAAATGCCTCGCTTCTACACAACGAATATGAAGAAGTAGGTACCCGGTAGGTGTACTTGTAGTCGTTTCCCAAAGGTTCTCCAAGAGGGTCTGAAAGTCAGCTCTTTCAGCTCTCACTGTGCCTCTGCTGCGCGTCATGCGCAGGCTTGAAGGTTTTTTTTATTCATTTTGTGGTATTAGAGACTACCATCATCATCACCAGCAAGAAGCGCGGCTCGTGGTTCTTCGTGACGCTCGCGCTGCACGGGAGCTCGGGTTTGCCGAAGCTCTGACTGACCGGGAACGAACGACGTGCCGCCTAGTTCTGTGGAGTTAGTGTCGTGCGTTGTAACGCCTTCCGCTATTTTAGACGCCATCAGAAGTTAGAGAGTTTAAGCAACACCAGTGCACTGGCAGTGGTAACTCAATTTGAAGTAGTCCTTTTTAAAGCAATAAAATTTATGGATACCTTCAAGCAGTTACTGTGAAATACAAAATATTCGTTTTAGTAAATTGAGAGAAAAAGCAGACAGGGTTTTTAAAAGCAGACAGGGTTTTTAACACAAAAATATTTTGCGCCGGGGTACACCACGACTCCGCTGACGTATTTCCGTTACTTACATGGCGTTCTAAAATACATGCTAACATATTGCAAAGAAGGAAAAAAGGAGAGGAAAGTGTTCTATTGCTTGACGGTGAACCAATGACCTATCTCTCCTCAGCGGGCGGCATGAGACCACTAGGCCACAAAGCACACATTATACAGCTTCCTAACGGCACACTATTTTTATATGCACCATACACAAACGACCGGGAGGTCCTCAGAGTAGCACACGTTGAGCACGTTTTCATCATCAGTAGCGAGATGGAGTGAAGTGCTCGCGTTGGGTGCACTCTAAAGGTCGTCGCTCCCCATGGTGCGATGCAAACGCTGGTTTTGTATCTCGTGCACACGCGCTTGTCTCGTGATTCAGGAGAGCACCAAGGTCACTTCACTCACTGCCGCGGCTGTGATCACAAAAGTAGCACGCTGCTTAAACTCGACAGCTGTTTGCGCTCTCCCTGTGTATACTTCTGTGTTCGTTTCGTGAGCCTTTCTCTTTGTGCAGCGCGGTTTGAATGCTTAGTTGTGACAGTTGTTGGTACGCGATCGTCGTGTGTATGTATGCTAATATGATGCGTGATTTTATGCTTGAACGGCGTGCTCCAACTTTCCTGCTGCTTCGTTTTCTTCGCGTGGCATTACAATTTCTTGCTGCATCATTCCTTCACTTGCCCTCATGGTGAAACTATGCACCATAAATGCTCAGCGGCCTCTATTAAGACACGGCTCGTTTTTGTGTTATACTGACTCCGAAACAGAGTGATCAGCCATATTTTTTTTAGTGTATGGAGGTTATGTGTTTTCTATCTTGCCATTATTGAGTGTATTAGACGTTTTTTGATTTGTTATAATAATAATACACACGTGCCTTAAATTATATCGGGGACTGTATATTAAGGCGTATTCTGTTGTGTAATACATGCCGATTATATATGGGCAAGTATTTTTATCGAATACGCTTGCACAGCCACAAAACTTCTGCTCAGTATATTTATAACCACCATGGAAACTTGGTCGCAGGAGATCAGGGTCACCTCCCTGTTGAAGTGGACGTTGGTGAGTCAGCGTCGGTCGAAAAGTTGTTCAACGTTGTTTGGGAACACTGTGGTTGCACCCCGGTCAGCATAATTGTCAACAACGCGGCCATTGGCACGTCCTTCGCACCAATCCAGGACTCTAGCGAAGAAGACTTTGACCACGTAATCAAGACAAATCTCAAGGTGAGGCTCAAGAGTAGCACCACTGCAGAGAACATGTGATATAAAACTCACTTATGAGGACATTACAATTTAGCATGTGTTCCTAGAGGTATCGCACTGGTGTAATAGTTTGGTGGTTATGATGTTAGTCTGATAACCCGAAGGCTCTAAGATTGAATCTAGGTCATGACGATTGCTTTTCGATGACGCCGAAAGCCCATGTACTTAGGTATAGATGCATGTTAAAACCCCCGGCTAGTTTTAATTTTCGGCACCCTTCACCACGCCGTATTTCATAATCATATCGTGGTTTTAGAAAGTAAAACACTGCCACTCATTTCGTGTATGTTGGCATCAGCAAATAGAGAAAATGTCTCATCACAAATTAACAGCCATTTTAGATTAGGAGCATCTCTCACTCGTGGGTATGTTCCGCGTCCACACTCTCTTTCTTCTCTCTCTCCAACAGCTGCGCTGTACTCTCTCCGCCCCTCTCCTACCACCTGCTTGCGCCAACGCCGACTAACTTTCAAGGCCGAAGGGCTGCCGCAGTGACGTCAGAGGTTGGGGGCCCAGTTGCCCAACTGAGCATGCTCAGTAAGACTTTTTTTTCCACATATTTTATTCGGCTCAATTCAGCCGCAGCAGCTGCGACAGCGGGAGCGTTGGTTCTCCTAAAATGTGAACGAAACACAGGCTTTCCGCCGCGTTCGCGGCGTAACGGCGCCCCCACTCTCTGACGTCACTGCGGCAGCCCTTCGGCCTTGAAATTTAGTCGGCGTTGCTTGCGCTCGCGGCCTCATTGGGCAAGCGCGTCCCCTGCCCTCTCTCTCCTCATCTGCTCTCATTCTCTTCTGTACTGCATCGCCGACGCAGGGAGCGTCTGGTAATCTGCACTTGGAGCAACTGTGTATGGTCCATATACAGTTAATACATCTACGCTCACTCCCCCATCTCCTCTAGGCATTCCTCCCCGTGGCGTCTCGCAAAGCCGATGCAGGCAGCGTCTGCTAACGAGTTTCTTCGTTTAAAGGACCACTCACCAGGCCCCATACTGAATTTTAGTTAGACAGTGGAAGTAATTAGTTGTCCTATGAGGAACATTTTGTCCCAAAAATTTTTCGAATCAGTTCATCACGAGCGGAGAAAACAGGTTTTTTGAAGCAGCGCGAAACTAGGATGAGAGGAGGTGAACCTGAAACCCTTGCCATTCCTACGCGTTGCCTTCGCCAGCCAAATCTCTTTTTTTTATTGATATAATATATAAGGAGATGTTGGCGCACCATTATGGCGCCGGCTACTCCTTAGCCGTTAATTGAAACTTGAACACGTATCTTGAAGCAAAAACATACAAAGCAGTGCATGGAAAATAGAAAACTCAGGCACAGATATGTAAAGACACACTTATACGTACATATCACAATGGTAAGTAAATGTTTGAAAGTCATTGTAAGAAGTCTCTGGAAACAACAAAACACAAACAACAAACACAACAACAAAACCACAAAGCACAAGTCTGGTCCTTATAAAGATGCATTCGCTCGTATGTACATAATAGTCGACACGTCATTCATTTCACAACACACACGTGATGCGTGTCACATGATACTGTATATAATAAGTACATGTGTTACAAATGAAAGCTTGTTCTTTGTTAATACTTGTCATCAATCCCGCTGTCTTGTAAAAAACGTGTTAATGCTCTTAAAGCGTGGGACTGTAAAACTCCAGTTGGCCACGGGCCCAGAAGTTTTTTCATGCTAAATGGTCTGTGGTCCGAAAATCTCTTCTTCACCCTCTCCAGCACCCGACCATGAGGTGACGTGCGCATGACGTGCCCAAACAAATCCAACCCCCGAGAACGCGATTGATTGATTGATTTGTGGGGTTTAACGTCCCAAAACCACCATTTGATTATGAGAGATGCCGTAGTGGAGGGCTCCGGAAATTTTGACCACCTGGGGTTCTTTAACGTGCACCCAAATCTGAGTACACGGGCCTACAACATTTCCGCCTCCATCGGAAATGCAGCCGCCGCAGCCGGGAATCGAACCCGCAACCTGCGGGTCAGCAGCCGAGTACCTTAGCCACTAGACCACCGCGGCGGGGGCCCCCGAGAACGCGAGCAGCGTTGCTTCGTTGACCAGCGTTATTTTGTGGTCTTCTGCCTGTTTCTGCGGGCTGGTTTGGAAACGCTAGCTTAGATGCGGTAGAGTAGATGAGCACAATGAGTGCGCGAACGCGTAGGAGCGTTCCACAGCGGCCATCTGCTCAATGCGCTGACCACGGGGACACGAACGCATGCGTAACGCTGGCACATTAGCCTCGCATCTCGGAGCATTTCACGGAAAAAAAAATAAAAGAAAATTGTGCACAATTTTTTATTGCCTCTCATTATTTATTTCATGTTTCATTAATCTCTTAAAGCAACAAATACATAAACTACGCATGTTGTGTTAAATAATTTTCGCCATGTGACGTGTTATACTGTTGACAACGTCAGAGCAGTCTCATCTACGTAGAGGGCCAACGTCACTGCATTGCCATTGTTGGGACTCCGGGTCCTGCCGGTCTCGTTTTCGGTAGCTGGCCCCGTCGCAGGATCCATCGTCCAACAATTCAGCGAGAAGAAGCGCCCGAACGAACAACAGAGATTTATTTACATGTGGAGAAGTGGTCAACTGACCCAAAGAGAGAAGAGTGCGTGTGATACAAAACGTCTTCGGCATTTTATAGCGCCAGGTTGTTGACACTGGGCGCCTTGTCCGCATCGTCAGCCAATACGGTGTCGCCGGCACCTCGGCCACGAGGGAGGGGAAAACACCTCTCACAACACAAGGAGTGGCACAACCCAACACAAGGTCCATATATGGTCCCGGCGCCCCAAAATGTTACCAAATATGGTCACGAACGCACAGCAGACCCCGTAGCTCTCCCGGCGAGGAGGAACCCGAATGGGGAGGTGGGGGTGGACGACACCGTCAGGTCAAGAACCGGTTCTCCCCCAAGCTCTCCCTGCTTGGCTCCCCAGGGCCGGTCGTAACAGTCTCTCGCGCGGGGGGGGTGAAGATCTCGATGGGCTGAGGTTTGCAGCCACTGTCCGGAGAGATCAGCGCCGGCAGTCGGTTTGGTGACGACCGTCTTTGATGAAGTAGAGGGCAACACCTGCTTCATTGAGGGCTCAACAGACGTCACATACGCACATGAAAACACAACTACTCAGCCGGTGAGCGCCGGACAATTCCGCCAAACTCCACCAGGCAATTTTCCCCTTTAACTGATAATAAAGGAAATACACAATTTATTCAAAATGTTACTCACACTTTAAGGTGACACAAAACAACAACACTGGAAGCACACCGAACCCGAAACCCTGGATAGCCGTGTCTTCAACGTTTTCAAACAAGTACACCTAAAAGAGTAAAAAAAAAATCACTAGCTCTTGTTTAGGTCAGGAAAAAAAATGCCAGAGTTCTCGAGACATCCTCTCGCGTCAGGGGCATCGACTTAAGCCATCAGCGTTGCCATGAAGTACACCCTTTTTGTAGCGTATTTCAAATGTATATTGTTGCAAAACGAGGCTCCAACGCAGCAGGCGGCCGTTCTTAGAGGACATGGTCTGTAGCCAGGTGAGAGGACAGTGGTCCACTTCCACAATGAACTTGCTTCCGGCAATATAACAAGCCAGTTTCTGGACTGCCCAAACCAAGCACGCACATTCCTTTTCGCTAGCGCTGTAAACCTGCTCGCGAAGGGTGAGTTTCTGGCCAACATAGAGGACGGCATGCTCTTGATCCCCTTCATCCCTTTGACTAAGAACTGCCCCCATGCCTCTATCACTAGCGTCGCATTGGACTATGAAAGGCCTTGAGTAGTCCGGTGAACTAAGCACAGGTTGGCTCTTAACACTCGCTCCATCACGGAGTGAAGCTTTTCTATCGAGTTCGACTGCGGATGGTAGACGGAACTATGCAATAATTTCACGCCACACCACTCTAGAAAGGTTGTCGTTAAGGCACTCGTGAAAATGGTGCCCTGGTCTGATTGTATCTCGGCAGGAAAGCCTACCCGGGCAAACACGGACAGAAGTGCGTTCACTACTTCCACGGAACTTAGCTCTTTTAGCGAGACCGCCTCTGGAAATTTAGTAGCTGGGCAGATTAAGGTCAGGATGTGACGGTAGCCTGAAGTTGTCTTGGGCAAAGGACCTACTGTGTCAATTACCAACCGACGAAAGGGCTCCGTGATTACGGGTACCAGCTTCATTGGAAATTTCGCCTTATCTCCCGGCTTACCCACTCGCTGACACACATCGCAAGATTTTACAAACCTCTCTACATCTTTAAAGCATCCAGCCCAGTAGTATTCCTGTAAAAGACGATTTTTCGTCTTCTTTACGCCTAAGTGGCCTGACCATGATTCTCCATGCACCAAACTAAGCAAATCCTGACGATACGCCTGAGGTACGACTACCTGGTCAAACTCTACTCCTCGCCTATCTAGATATTTTCGATAGAGTATGCCGCTCCTCTCTTGGAATCTCACATTTTGTTTGGCGACTCCCTCTTTCGAACTGTCCTGGAATCGCTTAAGCGTTGGGTCACCCTTTTGTTCGGTTATTAATGAAGCGGGGCTCACCTGCAGCAGCCGACTGAAATTATCCGAAGTTGGCATGACACACAACTCTTTTGTAGTTCCTAGTACCTGGAATGTGTCACCCTCTGTGCTATCCTCTGTACTACCAGGAATCGGCTTGGGAGCAATGGCATTTTCTATTTGCTCGGTCAACGAGGCGTAATTGACCCCTTCCGATTCGGGAGGAGGTTCAACGTCGCCTTTAGGAATGGTTGCCTCCGCGACTACGGCTTCTGCAGCCAGTTCTCGTACAAGTCGATTTGTTACCGTGGTGTCCAACTCGCAACCAGGCCCGTTGTCGATTTGAGGCTTGTTTGCCTCAGTGAATGTTGCTCTCGCAGCCAGCGCACGTGCCTTCGATCTAGTCAGTGCCTGCACTATGCCTT